CTCCTGGCCAGACTGATCAAAAAGAAAAGAGAAATGACCCAAATCAACAAAATCATGAATGAAAGAGGAGAGATCACAACCAACACCAAAGAAATACAAACAATTATAAGAACATATTATGAGCAACTCTATGCCAGCAAATTAGATAACCTGGAAGAAATGGGTGCATTCCTAGAGATGTATCAACTACCAAAACTGAACCAGGAAGAAATAGAAAACCTGAACAGACCTATAACCACTAAGGAAATTGAAGCAGTCATCAAAAATCTCCCAAGAAACAAAAGCCCAGGGCCAGATGGCTTCCCAGGGGAATTCTATCAGACATTTAAAGAAGAATTAATACCTATTCTCCTGAAACTGTTCCAAAAAATAGAAATGGAAGGAAAACTTCCGAACTCATTTTATGAGGCCACCATTACCTTGATCCCAAAACCAGACAAAGACCCCATCAAAAAGGAGAATTACAGACCAATATCCTTGATGAACATGGATGCAAAAATTCTCACCAAAATACTAGCCAATAGGATCCAACAGTACATTAAAAGGATTATTCACCACGACCAAGTGGGTTTTATCCCTGGGCTGCAAGGCTGGTTCAACATCCGCAAATCAATCAACGTGATACAATACATTAACAAAAGAAAGAACAAGAATCATATGATCCTCTCAATAGATGCAGAAAAAGCATTTGACAAAGTACAGCATCCTTTCTTGATCAAAACTCTTCAGAGTAGAGGGATAGAGCGTACATACCTCAATATCATAAAAGCCATCTATGAAAAACCCACAACGAATATCATTCTCAATGGGGAAAGGCTGAGAGCTTTTCCCCTAAGGTCAGGAACGCGGCAGGGATGTCCACTATCACCACTGCTATTCAGCATAGTATTAGAAGTCCTAGCCACAGCAATCAGACAACAAAAAGAAATCAAAGGCATCCAAAGCGGCAAAGAGGAAGTCAAACTCTCACTCTTTGCAGATGATATGATACTGTATGTGGAAAACCCAAAAGACCCCACCCCAAAACTGCTAGAACTCATACAGGAATTCAGTAAAGTAGCAGGATATAAAATCAATGCACAGAAATCAGTGGCATTCCTATACACCAACAACAAGACAGAAGAGAGACAAATCAAGGAGTTGATCCCGTTTACAATTGCACCCAAAACCATTAGATACCTAGGAATAAATTTAACCAAAGAGGCAAAGGATCTGTACTCAGAAAACTATAAAATACTCAGGAAAGAAATTGAAGAAGACACAAAGAAATGGAAAAACGTTCCATGCTCATGGATTGGGAGAACCAACATTGTGAAGATGTCAATGCTACCTAGAGCAATCTACACATTCAATGCAATCCCCATCAAAATACCATCCACTTTTTTCAAAGAAATGGAACAAATAATCCTAAAATTTGTATGGAACCAGAAGAGACCCCGAATAGCCAGAGGAATATTGAAAAAGCAAAGCAAAGCTGGCGGCATCACAATTCCGGACTTCCAGCTCTATTACAAAGCTGTCATCATCAAGACAGTATGGTACTGGCACAAAAACAGACACATAGATCAATGGAACAGAATCGAGACCCCAGAAATGGACCCTCAACTTTATGGTCAACTTATCTTTGACAAAGCAGGAAAGAATGTCCAATGGAAAAAAGACAGTCTCTTCAACAAATGGTGTTGGGAAAATTGGACAGCCACATGCAGAAGAATGAAACTGGACCATTTCCTTACACCACACACAAAAATAGACTCCAAATGGTTGAAAGACCTAAACGTGAGACAGGAGTCCATCCAAATCCTAAAGGAGAACACAGGTAGCAACCTCTTCGACCTCAGCCGCAGCAACTTCTTCCTAGACACATCGCCAAAGGCACGGGAAGCCAGGGCAAAAATGAACTATTGGGATTTCATCAAGATAAAAAGCTTCTGCACAGCAAAAGAAACAGTCCACAAAACCAAAAGACAACCTACAGAATGGGAGAAAATATTTGCAAATGACTTATCAGATATAGAGATAGTATCCAAAATCTATAAAGAACTTATCAAACTCAACACCCAAAGACAAATAATCCAATCAAGAAATGGGCAGAAGACATGAACAGACATTTTTCCAAAGAAGACATCCAAATGGCCAACAGGCACATGAAAAAGTGCTCAACATCGCTCAGCATCAGGGAAATCCAAATCAAAACCTCAATGAGATACCACCTCATCCCCGTCAGAATGGCTAAAATTAACAAGTCAGGGAACGACAGATGTTGGCAGGGATGTGGAGAAAGGGGAACCCTCCTACACTGTTGGTGGGAATGCAAGCTGGTGCAACCACTCTGGAAAACAGTATGGAGGTTCCTCAAACAGTTGAAATTAGAGCTACCATTCGATCCAGCAATTGCACTACTGGGTATTTACCCCAAAGATACAAATGTAGGGACCCGAAGGGGTACGTGCACCCCAATGTTTATAGCAGCAATGTCCACAATAGCCAAACTGTGGAAAGAGCCAAGATGTCCATCGACAGATGAATGGATAAAGAAGATGTGGTATATATACACAATGGAATATTACGCAGCCATCAAAAGGAATGAGATCTTGCCATTAGCAACGACGTGGATGGAACTGGAGGGTGTTATGCTTAGTGAAATAAGTCAGTCAGAGAAAGACATGTATCCTATGACCTCACTGATATGAGGAATTCTTAATCTCAGGAAACAAACTGAGTGTTACTGGAGTGGTTGGGGGTGGGAGGGATGGGGTGGCTGGGTGATAGACATTGGGGAGGGTATGTGCTACGGTGAGCGCTGTGAATTGTGCAAGACTGTTGAATCACAGAGCTGTACTTCTGAAACAAATAACGCAACATATTTTAAGAAAAAAGAAAAAGAAGAAGATAGCAGGAGGGGAAGAATGAAGGGGAGTAAGTCGGAGGGGGAGACGAACCATGAGAGATGATGGACTCTGAAAAACAAACTGAGGGTTCTAGAGGGGAGTGGGGGGATGGGTTAGCCTGGTGATGGGTATTAAGGAGGGCACATTCTGCATGGAGCACTGGGTGTTATGAACAAACAATGAATCATGGAACACTACATCAAAAACTAATAATGTAATATATGGTGATTAACATAACAATAAAAAAATTAAAAAAAAAAAAGAAGCAGAGGTGGCTACTTGAGACCAGGATCTGGATGCCAAGCAGGAGCCAGCCCTGAGACCGAGGCAAGAGGACAAGCACAGTACAGGCAGCAAGAACAAAGGCCCTGAGGCACGAGCAAGCTGGGCCAACGTGGCTGTGGCGGAGTGAGGAGGAGGGTTGTAAGCAGACCAAATCCTCTGTACTGCTACAGGTATGGCTGCCAACCCCACGCCTAACTGTAACTCCATAGTTTGAGGACTTACAAAGGTTTCATTTTAAATTTCCACCCTGGCACCTGGGTCGCTCAGTTGGTTAAGCGACTGCCTTCGGCTCAGGTCATGATCCTGGAGTCCCAGGATCGAGTCCCGCATTGGGTTCCCTGCTCAGCGGGGAGTCTGCTTCTCCCTCTGACCCTCCCCCCTCTCATGCTCTCTCTCTATCTCTCATGCTCTCTCTCTAACTCTCATTCTCTCTCTCAAATAAATAAATAAAAAAATCTAAAAAATAATAAATAAATTTCCACCCTATCGTGTCTCAATTTGAGAGAGGCAGTTTGACAACGGGAAGAACCTGGGCTTCCTAGTCAGACATTCCTGGCCCTTCTGCTACTAGCCTGACGGGTGGTTTAACTTCTCTGGGCCTCACTCTGCTCATCTGGAAAATGGGGAGGCCAATATCCACCTCAGCAAGATGACTGAGAATGAAGGGGGACCTGGCCCTGGGCTGAGCTTATCCATAATATAAGCAGTTAGCAATACATTCCTGGCTTGCTTTCAGGTCCCTCGCTGCCTGTTACTCTCCTTATTACTGCAAGGCCCCAGCTCCTCTCCTTTCCTCTAGCTGGGCTGGTCTCTTCACCACAGATAACATCCTTACTTCCTCAGACGATGCTCTATGAGTCTATCCACTTGTCTGTCTCTGCTATGCTCTGAGATCCTCCCTCCTCCTGCCCACCCCACCTTCCTACCCTGTCATCCTATGTAAACCTTACATCTTTCCTCCATCAAATTCTACTCTAAGGGGGTGGGGGGAGGGAGGCGACCTTTCAGGAAGGGTAGGGCTTCCATCAAATAGCTCTCTTCCGTCGGTCCTGAGCGTGGCCCACCCACCTGGATACTAGAGCCGTCCCCAGCCACCTGCCTTCTTGGGCCACACTGCTGTCTCTCATTTCTGTGCCTTTCTGTATAACTCAGAATGTCCTTCTGGTCTTCTGCACCTGACCTACTCCACCTCAGCCTGTTATCACCTCCTCCAAGAAGACTTCCCAGAACTCCACAGCCTCTCTAGGGCACCTGTTTTCTCTGTTGTTGCCATCCCAATTTTACTCTCTATTTACTCGTCTGTCTCCTTCACTGTGGTATGAGGTCTCCACCTCCCCCACCCCCCGCCCCATCAGAGTGACTGTCTCATGGTAATAATGAAAGTAATAGCATTTCCTGATCGCCATGTACGATACTGTTCTATACTCTGAGTACTTGCTTTCCTTTGTTTAATCCTCACAACAACGTGAGAGACAGGTTCAGGGAGGTTAAAACTTGCCCGAAGTCACACGGTTAATGAGTGGTAGAACCAGGATTTGAACTCCATTAAAATGACTTCAGAGCCTCTGCTTGTAACAGCAAAATGTTTGATGAATGAATATATGAATGCACTGTTAAGGCCATTAGGAGCATTTTTCTTGGCTTGACAGTCAATGAACTGGCTGTATGGTTGGATATGTCAGTCTCCTGTGAGCTTCACGAGTGTGAGTCCAGTTTTCAGATGATCAAAGTGTTGCCCCAGGGTAACACTACCCTGACAGCTCTCTCCAGCCACCTGCCTATCTGTGCTCTCTCTCAGTGGTGTTCACAAAGCCTGGGACTTACCATCTGCGGGTTCCTCTAGGTTATCGTGCCAAGACATGGGCTTTCTGGTGATTGTGTGAACTAGAGAAAAACAGCATCATAGGTTCACGTTAAAACATTAATGCCCCATCCTCTTGAAGACTTACCCTAGCCAGACACCTGCTGAGCATTTTCTGAGTGTCTGCCACATGTCAGGTATTGTGCTGGGCACTTGGGAATAAGGCTCTCAAGGACCTCACAATCCAGAGTGACACTGTCCAGGACAGTGGCCACCAGCCACATGTGGCTACTTGAATTTGAATAGTTAAAATTAAATACACTTAGAAATCCATTCCATAGGCACACTAGCCACATTTCAAGTGCTCAGCAGCCACATGGGGCTAATGGCCCCCATTTTGGACAGCACAGATACAAAACATTTCATTGTTGCAGAATGTTCTCTTAAACAGCTGGTCAGTGAGGATGCAGACAAACCATGCAGCCTAACAAGGTTAGACACATGGTGATATATCCCCTGAAGGCTATGTGATAACAGAAGTGCAGAATCCACAGACATCCATTCAACTCATAATTACTGATGCCCAGGAGACAGGGCTGTAAACAGAGGAGGTTCCTGTACTCCCTGAGCTTCCATTTGCGGTGACAGACAATAAACGAATAAATACTTGGGCAAAAGTAAGTGAGCTGTAGAACAATAAATCATGTTACATGGGTAGAGAGTTGATGGTGGGGTGGGAGTGGGGGTGACAGGTCCCTAAGGGCATTAGAGCAGAGTTCCAAATAAAGCGAGGGAATGTGCTGTGTGAGCAGAGCTCCAAATAAAGTGAGGGAATCCAAGAGTGAGCTTGGTGGGTTTGAGAAACATCGAGAAGGCCAGAGTAATTCCGTGGAGTGAGCTAGGTGGAGGCTAGTAGGAAATGAGCAGAGGCCAGAAGGAACCAGTGGTCTCCAAGACTCCTCAGACTCCTACCAGTAAAAAAACTTCGGAGCACACACCTATAAATGTGTATTTATATGGTCTCTATGTATTATACTACCATGAGTAGTATAATTTCTTTCTTTATACCTAAAAGTAAACATAAATACAAATTCTAGCAGAAATACGAGTTCTAATTCTAATACTTCCTCACTTTACCCCAATGGATCACACTAATCATGTGCCCAAGGGACAGGAGCTGGGAGACCTAGAAAGCCTGAACATTGCCTGAAGGGATTATTTAAATTGTGGTAATGGACCAAGTTTAAACAGAATTGACTGTTAATTTGTTTTCCTGAAATTGGTTGGGAGCTCCAGAGGAAAACCAGGTTAGTTATGAGCAAAACGAAGACATTGCATTTTCTGTGCCCTCACCACTACCCCCCACACACACGCACACACACATACACACAGGGTAGCTCTGTGACATGGGTATGCTACTTAGCTTGACTGTTGTAAGCATTTCACTGTATATGTATATCAAAACATCATGTTGTACATCTTAAATATATACAATTTTTATCTAGAAAGGGACGTTACATTTTCTCTACATAGCTGAGCTGCAGTGGACTACAGTTAATTAGGCCCAGAAATTGGGAGAGAAGTTGTGGAAGAAGAAACAATGATATTGAAGGTAACAAGATGGGGAAAGGTGTGATATATTTAGGAAATCCATTTATTTAGACATGGTGGGAGAGAAGGGAGCTCGTGCCTGGTGCAGAGTAAGCACTAAAATATTTATTAAAGGAGCAGTGTGTGGCTGGAGAGGGGAGTCCCGATGAGGCTAGGTGGGTGGCAGAGCCAGATCCACGGGGGTCTTATGTACTGAGCAGTTTAAACCTCAGTTCAGAAGCTGTGGGCCACTGAGGGTTACAGAGGGACTGGTGAGATCGAACTCACTTTTAGCAAAGCTCCAGCCAGCAGTGGTGTAAGGGACAGTGGGCTTGGAGGAAGAGCGTAGTTAGGAGCCCATCAGATCAGTACAGACCGAAGTGAGCAGGGCCCTGCTGAGGTTTGGCAGGGATGCTGGAGAGAGAGGTGGACTCAGGCCCTATTTAGAGGTGGGGGGGAAGTAAGTGAGGAGAGGTGGAGATGCCTCCACATGCACCATAGTCTTTCACTGAGGTCCGAACACTGGAAGGGTCGGTGAGAAAAATGTTAATAACCAGGACTGTGACCACTTTGATGTGTGCAGTGAGGAAGAGACTGAGGATGACTGCTAGGCTTCTAACTTGGGAGAGAAAACAATTGCAGTACCTTCCGCTCAAACAAGATGCTCTGGAATAGCAGCAGGTGGGGGAGAGGTGCAAGATGCCCCCAGTTTTCCAACTGGTGAGTTTAAGGTATCCATGGGTTGTCCAGGGGAAGAGAGCTGGGCGGTGGTTGGGGTGTGAGTCTGGGGCAGCTGATTTGAGACCCGGTGGCCTTCAGGGGCAGCTGATGCTACAGGACCAGATGCAACTACCCAGGGAATGTGCCAGGTGAGGAGTGGGGGCAGGGCCGTTTTATCAGGAGGGCACTATGAGCCCTGAGTCCACCACCCCTGAACTTTCCAAACATCTAAGACAGTATGAGAAGCCTGGAAAAACAAACAACTAGCTTATTAACAAACACAACTAGCTTATTAACAACAAACCAAAACACAAACAGCAAAACAAAACACAAAACCCCACAAAATATAATTATTTCGAAAGCAAAATTTTAAAAAGTATTTCAAACTTTTGACAAAAGTACTATTTAATCGCGATATGTGTGCATTTTAATATATTAAAGTATTTGATGGGATGTGGAGCGAGACCTTCCGCACCTCCCGCCGAGTCAGAGGCCTGAAATCTAGGGAGGGGGGCGAGGTCAGAGAAGGCGTCTCCTACTTTGCTCCGGCCATGCATCCCCGCCCCGCACCCCCACGGCCCCCCACTTCCCGGGGGGCGCCCACCCTGTCCCCTACCTCCGCCCCGGGGCGCCCCTCACCCTTGCGGAGGGGATTCGCGTGATACTGTGTGTAGAGTTTCTGGGTTCGAAGCTCTTTGAGGTATAATTCCCGCAGGATCTGGTTCTGGTGGACCTCATCTGGGATCACCTTCTCCTTTTGGCGTCCGGCCATGGCTTTGGCGGTGCCGGGTGCGGTCCTGCTCCTTCTCACTGCCCTCCGGACGCTGGCCCGGTTGGGGAGATGGGGGACAGGGCGGAGCGCCATCTCCAGGCAACGGCGTCCCACGCTGTCTCCCGGCAACAGCGTCCCGGATTACAGCCTCGCTTCGACCCCCTCCGGGGCCGCCCATCCCTCCCCCACTTCCAGAACCTTATTTCTTACCCCGCTTCCTTCGGAAGCCTGAAGCCTGAAGCCGGAGGACTCACCTTCCCCAGCCTCTCCAGATCCTGGTTACTAGGACGGCCCCTGTATACCACCAGGAGAGGGCACACGTCCAGCAGCTGACCCAGGAGGTAATGGACTGGATTGGACCTCACCTTGGACAGTCATTTCCTAAGAAAGATTTGGGAAGGAGTCAGAAACCTCTCCCATTTTATTTTATTTTATTTTTTATCTCTCCCTCTGATTTCATCTTTTTTTAATTATTATTTTTTTAATTTAATTTTATTATGTTATGTTAATCACCATACATTACATCATTAGTTTTTGATGTAGTGTTCCATGATTCATTGTTTGGGTATAACACCCAGTGCTCCATTCAATACGTGCCCTCTTTAATACCCATCACCAGGCTAACCCATCCCCCCACCCTCCTCCCCTCTAGAACCCTCAGTTTGTTTCTGAGTCCATCGTCTCTCATGGTTCATCTCCCCTCTGATTTCCCGCCCTTCATTTTTTCCCTTCCTACTATCTTCTTTTTTTTTTTTTTTAACAACATATAATGTATTATTTGTTTCAGAGGTACAGGTCTGTGATTCATCAGTCTTACACAATTCACAGCGTTCACCATAGCACATACCCTCTGCAATGGCTATCACCCAGCCACCCCATCCCTCCCACCCGCCCCCACTCCAGCAACCCTCAGTTTGTTTCCCAAGATTACGAATTCCTCATATCAGTGAGATCATATGATACATGTCTTTCTCTGACTTATTTCGCTTAGCAAAATACCCTCTAGTTCTCTCCACGTTGTTGCAAATGGCAAGATTTCGGTTTTTTTTTTTCTGTTGGCTGCATAATATTCCATTGTGTGTGTATATATATATATATATACATATATATATATATATATATATATATATATATATATATATACACATCACATCTTCTTTATCCATTCATCTGTTGATCGACATCTTGGCTCTTTCCATAGTTTGGCTATTGTGGACATTGCTGCTATAAACATTGGGGTGCATGTACCCCTTTGGATCCCTACATTTGTATCTTTGGGGTAAATACCCATTAGTGAGATTGCTGGGTCATAGAGTAGCTCTATTTTCAACTTTTTGAGGACCTCCATACTGTTTTCCAGAGTGGCTGCACCAGCCTGCATTCCCACCAACAGTGTAGGACAGTTCCCCTTTATCTGCTTCCTTGCCAACATCTGTCGTTTCCTGACTTGTTAATTTTAGCCATTCTGACTGGTGGGAGGTGGTATCTCATTGAGGTTTTGATTTGGATTTCTGTAACACGAGCGATGTTGAGCACTTTTTCATGTGTCTGTTGGCCATTTGGAGGTCTTCTTTGGAAAAAATATCTGTTCATATCTTCTGCCCATTTCTTGATTGGATTATTTGTTCTTTGGATGTTGAGTTTGATAAATTCTTTATAGATTTTGGATACTAGCTCTTTATCCGATATGTCATTTGCAAATATCTTCTCCCATTCTGTCGGTTGTCTTTTGGTTTTGTTGACTGTTTCCTTTGCTGTGCAAAAGCTTTTTATCTTGATGAAGTCCCAATAGTTCATTTTTGCCCTTGCTTCCCTTTCCTTTGGCAATGTTTCTAGGAAGAAGTTGCTCCGGCTGAGGTCGAAGAGGTTGCTGCCTGTGTTCTCCTCTAGGATTTTGATGAACTCCTGTCTCACATTTAGGTTTTTCATCCATTTTGAGGCTATTTTTGTGTGTGGTGTAAGGAAATGGTCCAGTTTCATTCTTCTGCATGTGACTGTCCAATTTTCCCAACACCATTTGCTGAAGAGACTGTCTTTTTTCCATTGGACATTCTTTCCTGCTTTGTCAAAGATGAGTTGACCATAGAGTTGAGGGTCCATTTCTGGGCTCTCTATTCTGTTCCATTGATCTATGTGTCTGTTTTTGTGCCAGTACCATACTGTCTTGATGATGACAGTTTTGTAATAGAGCTTGAAGTCCGGAATTGTGATGCCACCAGCTTTGCTTTTCTTTTTCAACATTCCTCTGGCTATTTGGGGTCTTTTCTGGTTCCATACAAATTTTAGGATTATTTGTTCCATTTCTTTGAAAAAAGTGGATGGTATTTTAATAGTGATTGCATTAAATATGTAGATTGCTCTAGGTAGCATTGACATCTTCACATTATTTGTTTTTCCAATCCATGAGCATGGAACGTTTTTCAATTTCTTTGTGTCTTCCTCAACTTCTTTCATGAGTATTCTATAGCTTTCTGAGTATAGATTCTTTGCCTTTTTGGTTAGATTTATTCCTAGGTATCTTATGGTTTTGGGTGCAGTTGTAAATGGGATCGACTCCTTAATTTCTCTTTCTTCTGTCTTGTTGTTGGTGTATAGAAATGCCACTGATTTCTGTGCATTGATTTTGTATCCTGCCACTTTACTGAATTCCTGTATGAGTTCTAGCAGTTTAGGGGTGGAGTCCTTTGGGTTTTCCACATAAAGTATCATATCATCTGCAAAAAGTGAGAGTTTGACTTCTTCTTTGGCGATTCGGATGCCTTTCATTTCTTTTTGTTGTCTGATTGCTGTGGCTGGGACTTCTAGTACTGTGTTGAATAGCACTGGAGATAGTGAGACCTCTTCCATTTTAAAGCAGATGACTAGAATCAAAACTCTCAATGTCTGTCTCATAAAACAGAGGACGTTTCAAATCTGACAAGTTATTCTGGCCCTTATCACCTGTGGGATAATATAGACAGAAGAACCCCTTTCCTAATATAAGTAACTTGGAGACTTTGGTAAAATACACATAGCATAAAATTTACCATTAGAAGCATTTTTAAGGATACAATTCAGTAGTGTTAAGTATATTCACACTGTGTGAGACCAATTTCCAGAATTTTCTGATATTCATTAAACACCTTCCCATGGTCCCCCTCTCCCATAGCCTCTGGCAATTACCGGTTTACTTTCTCTATGAATTTGACCACTCTAGATACCTCATATAATACAGTTTGACTCCAAAGCCCATGCTCTTTTCCACTAAGTACTTCATTGATTCATCTATCCATTCATTCATTCAGGACATAGCATAGTTGAGGATGTGTGTAGGTCTGGGACAAGCCTGAACCCAGCTAGCTACTTAATGCCTCCTTGTTTTAGCTCCTACTGCTCCTTCTCCTTGGCCTGGAAGGCTCTTTTCCTTGTGTCTGTCTGGGGAACACCCATTTATAAGGAGCTCATGTACATGTGAGCTTCTTTCAAAAAGCTGCTGGACTCTATAGCCTCTAGTCCAACTTCTGTCTGTGGCATGCTCTACTCCAAATCTATAGTTACTGGAATACTTTACTAAAATTCTTTGTTTATATGTAAGTTACTTGAGAACAAGAAATATATCGGGTCCATCTCTGCATGACCAGTACCTGGCATAGTATGGACAGATATGGGTGTTTGGTAAATGTTTGCTGGCTGATTGGATGTCTGCTCAGTTAGTACTGTGATTTTCTCCTGCTTACATCATTACATAAACCCTTATGTGATTCAAAAACACAAACAGATTTATCACATCAGGGCTGAGCTAGAGAAGCACCTTTGTTACTTATTGTGAGCCATACCTGAGTCCCTTTTTCTAGCAAGGCTCAAACAGCCTCTGAAGTCTTCACTATCTTCCTAAACCTAAATAGAAATGAACCATCATTCTGCTTAGGAGCCACCTTGTTAGCTCTGAGACAACTAGCAAAGGCCGTGTTGGTCCCCTAACTGACCTTTCTTCAGCCTGGGCCCAGTGGTCCAGCAACCCTCCCTCCATACAGGTCTAGGGTTAGGAGGAGGCTCAGAAGGAAGGGAGGCGGGTGTCACTGCAGCTTCATCTTCTCTCCACTCCAGCCCCACATTATTATGTTTCTCAGGTGCCCTCACATGGGTTTTGAACACATCACAGCCCAGCCCAGGAGAGGCCAGCCCAGTGACTCTCTGGGGCTAGCTTCTGCTTACCTGGGGGACATTCCAGGCCATCAGTGTGCTTCTAAACTCTTGAGACTCTGTATTGAAAAAACTGTAGAGTTGAAAAACATGATGGCCTGGTCCTCCAGCTTCTCAGCCAGTGTCTGGGGTTGCAGATTTTTCTTGAAATCTGTGTTACCTCTCAATTAGGAGCAGTTGTTGAGACTCAACTAACAGGGAAATCAACTAGAAAAATATAATAGAAAATACCATTCACGTTAACAATAAACAACTATCTAGGAATTAACCTAACAAAGGATGCATGAAAATTTTATGGAGAAAAAAATTAAAACTATCCATATCATGGATACATGATATGTCTTAACTAATACAGAGATCAGCATTGTATGCTGGTGAGCTGCTGTACAGAACTTAGAGCCACAAACTAGATGCACTACAGCAGTGAGGGCGGATCTTAAAACAGCGGTGATAGAAAAAAACTATAAAAGCCTAAGGTTTATAATATAATACTCTTCCCTAAAACTACAAACAGACCAACTCTATATGGTACAAGATCGATTCTGCATGGTACAGAGTTAGTGTCTATTTGGGTAGGGAGATCAGAGAGGCAAAATACAGAGTAAAAAAATAAAACAAGATTTTTCCTTCTGGGCTTGCCCTCCTGCTGCAGACATTTAAGCGCAGGGCCTGGGTATTGAGCAGTGCTGGACTTTTATTCCTTGAAAGAAGGGAGTCGAAGGAGATGAGCCCTACAGTTGCTCCGGATTTCTGCCTGGAGACACTTTCTGAAATATGCATGGACGAGGAACCCGAGCTAAGCAGGTGATACCTCCTGGTTGAGGTGGCTGAAAATTTGTGGAGCCCCAAGAATTGGAGGGAGGGGTGGGAGAGAGAGCGAAAGAGCACCAGAAATGTGCATGGAAACCCCTTGAGTCTTGCCTGATACTATGAAGGGAAAAACTCGGTGAAGGAATGGCTTGGGAAGCTGTGAGCTTAGCAACACCCAGAATTCATACAGGGCTGAGAGAAAGGTGAGTTCTGACCAGACAGGATAGAGAGTCCTCGTTGAAGGTGTTGGGTAGAGGCCCCCAAATTTTACACCTTAGTAATAGGACTAAGCAAACCTTAGAGAAAAGGTTGCTCTAGCCTTTCCTTAATGAAGCTTCAAAACAAGGCTCGGAAAGTATCAGATGGATCCACAAGTGGCCATTCGGCCTCCCGGAAAAATTTCCAACACCTTTCAAAGAAAGACAACAAAATCCAGCACTCAACAATGTAACATTCACAAAGGACAGCCTCAATTAAAACTATTAGAAGAGCAGACAGTTGGAGAAGTAGGGAAATGTGGCCCATTGACAGGAGAAAAAGCAATGTAGAAGTTTGAAAACTTAGGGGTGCCTGGGTGGCTCAGTTGGTTAAACGTCTGCCTTTGGCTCAAGTCATGATCTGAGGGCCCTGGGATCGAGCCCCTGGTCGGGCTCCCTGCTCGGCCAGGAGCCTGCTTCTCCCTCTCCCTCTGCCCCCCTCCCCCCTGCTTATGATCTCTCTCTCTCTCTGTCAAATAAATAAATAAAATCTTTAAAAAAAAAGAAGTTTGAAAACTTAGATGAAATGGGTAACTTCTGTGAAGGATAGATTTCCAGAACTGACAAAAAAAGAAAAAAAAAGAAGAAATAGAAAATCTGCATATCTTTACATCTATTTTTTTAAAAATTCAATTTGTAATTGAAAAACTTCCCACAATATACCCTCCAGGCCCAGATGGCTTCTCTGGTCAATCTGTCAAACATATAATGAAGAAGATACCGCTCCTACCCAAACTCTTTCAGAAAACAGGAGTGGAAGAAACATTTCCCAACTCATTTTTTTTTTGGTTTTTATTTTTTAATTAAAAGAAAAAAGTTTTTTAAAAGTAAGCTCTACACCCACCAATGTGGGGGCTCGAACTCATGACCCTGAGATCAAGAGTCACATGCTTTGCTGACTGAGCCAGCCAGGTGTCCCATTTCCTAACTCATTTTGAGGTCAGCATTACATCAACACTAAAACCAGACAAATGATTACAAAAAAGAAAACTAAAGATAAATAACCCTCATGAACATATATGTAAAAATTCTTAACTAAGTATTAGAAAATTATATCTAGCAATATATAAAAAGATTAGTATACCATAGCCAAATGGGGTTTGTCCAAGAGGTGTAAGGTTGGGTTGGTATTTGGAAATATCAATTCACCATATTAACAAATAAAGAGACAATATGATCGTCTCTACATTTGGTAGATGGGGAGGGGAGGTAAAAGGGGAGAGCTGTTGGGTCCTTTGTGGGAGCCCCCTGCACCCTCTGCCTGACACTACAACCAGTGAGAACTCACAGTTACAAGTTAGGGATTCTTGATAAGCACTCATGTTTAAAAATCCTAACAGAAACTTTTTATCGTGAAACATCACACATTCACAAAAAAAGGGCTTTCCCGCAGAATGGGTAGCTCATACTGATTTACCACAAGAACATACATGTAACCATCACAGAGGCCGACACTAGAACACTAACAGCACCCCAAGAGGTCTCTCTCATACCCTCACCCAAACCCTGTCTTCCCCTTTCTCCTCAAAGGTAACCCCTATCCTGACTCTTAACACCACAGATCATTTTGCCCGTTTTTTTCACTTTGTGTAAATGGAATCAGACAGTATGCATGCTTTTGCATTTGACTTCTTCTGCTCAACATTGTTTGTGAAATTCATCTATGCTGTTGTGTGTGGTTGTAGTTTCATTCCTGTGTACTGTTCACTTTTGTGACTATAACAGTTTGTTTATTCATTTTACTACTAATGGACACCGGTCTGTTTCAATATGGACTATTACAAATCATGCTGTATGCACATTTTTTGTAGATGTCTCTTGGTGCCCATGTACAAACATTTTGTTGGCTATATGCTTGGGAGTGCATCTCATTATGGTTTTAATCTGTATTTTTCTATTGACTAATGAGGTTGGCCAACTTCTTTTGTATGCTTATTGGTCATTTGGATATCCTCTTTTGTGAAGTTCCTGTTACAAATCTTTTTCTATTTTTCTTTTGTATTGTTTGTCTTTTCTTTATCAATTTGTTGGAGTTCTTTATATATTATGGATATAATAAGCCCTTTGAGAGCTGTAACATGTCCTGCAAATTTATTTTCCCACTGTATGATTTGCCCCTTAATGGTATTGTTTTGATAACTTGAAAGACACTTTATAGTATCTTCTTCAAATTTAAATGTGGTCAAATATATCAGTTTTTCCCTTTAAGATTAGTGCTTTCTAAATGACACTGAAGACATTTTTTCTAATTGATGGTGTGATGATATTTTCTTGTATTACCTTCAAATCAGTACTGCCCAATAAAAATAGGAAGCAAGTCACACAAGCAATTTAAAATTTTCTAAAGAGCAAAAAGAAACAGATTCAGTTAATTTAAAAGATATTTTATTTAATCCAATATGTCTAAATTATCATTTCAACATTTCAATATAAATGCTGTTGAGATATCTTATTGTTTTTTCATACTGTGTTTAAAATCCAGTGCAAATTTTATAATGAATAACACATCTCAAGTGCTCAGTAGCCATGCGAGACCGGGGCAATTCTACATGATTTGTTTTTACTCTTTACAGTTAGATGTATGTTTTACCTGAAGCTGAGTGTAGTTATGAGTTTTGAATTGTTATGTAGTTTTGAGTGCAGTTATGTGCTAGGAATCTAGCTTAATTTATTTCCGTCAAAGTATCCAATGGACGAAGAACCAATTTATTGAAAAGACAGCCCATCCCCGTGGTTCTGCTATGATACTTTTGTCTTAAGTCAAGTGCCCACATATGTGGGGACCTGTGTCTGGACCCTTCTATGCCACTTGTCTCTTTGTCTATGTTAGCACTACTGCTACACTATCACTATCTTAATTACTATAATTTTTGTGACAAATCCTGGTATCTGGTAGGAAAATTGTTCCCACCAGTTCTTAAGAGAGTCTTGGCTATTCTTGGCCCTTTTGCCTGTCCACCCAAATTATAATGAGTTTGTCAAGTTTCCTAAAAATATGTTAGGATTTTGATGGTGATTCCACTGAATCTATGTATCGGTTTGAAGAGAGCACTTTTTAAAAAAAGTATATCATCCTATCATCTGAGTAGGATCTGGATGTGTCCTTGCCTCCTAGGCTCAGCTACCTGCCATTTTCTGGGGTACAGAAGTTCAACCTTCAGAGCTTTGATGAGAACATAATGGAAAGCCCCCCATCTTCTTGCAAGAGGCATTTCTCAAAGGCAGAAAGTCGCTGGTAAGTTTCTACAATTCTAGGATGCAGAAAAATAGAGTCTTGGAGGAACCAGACCAAAACCTTGAATCCCCATATGTCTATAATAGGGGCCTTCTGCTCTGTGTGTGAGTTCTTAGGGGTCACCCATTCTTGCACTCACTTTAATCCAGCACAGATCAATAGGACTTACCTGCCTAGAGATCAGATTAGATGTTTTCCACTCACTCTTCTCTACTTTGTGTCACTGATCTTGCTGTTTGCTCTGTGGTCACAGACCAAGTTCCATGGAGAAGCCAGTTATAAATGTAGAAGCTCATTCAGGCTGGCTAATTGGGAAAGAGGAAAGAAACAGATTCTCTAGAAAAAGGGTCTTGTTAAAGGTGTCTCTGGCATCTGAAGGGGATTTACAAGAATAAAGACAAAATATAGGTAATAGATAACCAGGTTATGGCTGAAAACACCATCATGGAAAAGGGGTCCTGTAACTAACAGAGCTTACCTTCCAACCTGAATGTTGGTTGGCATTCTCTTGAATTCCCAACGCTCACCAGGTCAGGCTCCTGGAGATCACAGTTCTGGCAATGCTGGATGGCATCAGAACTGTCCCACTCACAGGGAAATAATCTCTCCGGGATAAGATTTGTGAATCACAGAGGTCTGGTTGGGGTTGGCTGGAATGTTGGTGAGGACCAGACTCCAAAGATCTAGAAAGAAGGGTTGGAAGGAGGAGTAGGAGCAAAGACAAAGGACTAATAGGAAAGAGGAGCGAGATGAACAGAGCGGCAAATGGATGGTCTGGAAGGAATAGAGGAAGATTTTGACAGGGAAATCTGTAAGGTAGGGTGGCAAGAAGGGATAGCTCTAGTCAGAGGAGGGAAAGAGGTAGGGCAGTAAGCTGAGAGAGGTAGACGGTGCTGGGGAGCAGTCTGAGAGCCTTAAGAGTTAGACAGGAGAGGAAGGTGGGTTGGAAAACGAGAGCATGAGGGGAGAGAGTGGGCAGGTGGAGTCTGGGGCTGAGATGAGGAAATCCGGGGCAGCTTTCTTATCATTTTTCCAAATGGCATTTCTCTAGTTACTCATCTTGGCAAAAAGGAGTAACTGGACATAAGCTCAGACCTACCCCAGCATTTATCTCCCACACCAGCCCTCGCATCATCCCATGGCTGAATGCCCATTATGAAATATGTGTGCCCCTCCCTTCTGGGCAGTCAGCTGGTCTGCCAGCCAGGGAAATGGCGCCAGGTGCTAAGTTGGAGAGTGATCACAGGCAATAGCAAAGAGAAGAAATGGGGCTGTAATATTAGTCCTTATTCTTTGAGATAACATGTAGTTTTGTCCCTCACTAGGCAAAGATTGATCGAAGGGCTGCGATACAGTTAGAGGCTTGGGACCAAGAGAATGGATCTGAAGCAGGTGTGGGCAAAGTGGGGAGAAGTCTGTTCCTCCAGCTATTTAACTTACTACATTTTCCAAAGCCCTTTACATCATTTATGTAACTCCATGAATATGAGGTGATCAGAGATATTACATCCATTTTACCAATAAGGATACTGTAGGCCAGACAGGGAACTAGATAGGCAGGCCGTGGGTGACATAAGGGCTTAGGGGGCATGCAGGAGGGTGCACAAAATGGCACAGAGCACTGTCAGCGTGACCCTCTCCCATGTTTCTGGACAGGATCTGGTAGGAACAGAACTTTACAGTGTAGCTTTCTTCTTTGGTCCCTGGGGTCCCTTGGTTTGTTGCCTGACCCTTACCTGGAGGCAGAAATAGGACCAAAGCCAGTAAGTCCTGAGTACCTAGTAACTAGATTTGGACTTCCTTGCTTACTATCTGCGATGCCCATCTGCATGTCAGGTGATTTAGGAGACTACTGTACCCTTCCCCTTGTCTGATGATGTAGCAGTTCTCTCTGCTTACCATTCTTGATTTCTTTGACCATCACCCAAATCTCTCCTGTACTCTTAACACCATAATATTCTGACTTTTCTTCCTTAACCCAACACCCATATCCTTGTGTACTTCACAAAACTGTTGTATTCTTTGGAAGTCCAGATACATGACTGGAAAACTTCCTGTTTCCTTAGACTGTTCCTCTGTTTCCTGTCCCTGGTATCTCCTGGCTTTAACTGTAACCTGGATTCTCCTTGAAGACACTGCTCCTCTCGCATATGTCTCAGATAAGGTCTGTTCCTCCCAAACTCTACAGTTCTTCAGGGTGCAGATGTGCCATTAGCATCACCTCAAGTACTTACGTCTCTTTATTTTTTACATCTGGACATTATATTTTTTACAACTGACTCCTCCAAACCATTATTTCTCTCTTCTAATTAGAAAATCTCAATAAATAAATACATAAATAAATAAATAAATAAATAAATAAGAAAATCTCTTGCTCCTTAGAAGTTTTGCTACTTACCATTTCCCTGGCACTGTCAACTTCAGGGCACTGTCACCTTCAGATCTCCTGGTTACTCTTTTTTTTTTCTATGAAAACTTTGCGCTTGTCTCAAAGTCTTAGTCTTGAGTCCATCATCTTTTTTTTTTTTAAAGATTTTACTTATTTGACAGAGAGAGAGTGAACAAGAGAGAACGCAAGCAGGGGGAGGGGCAGAGGGAGACGGAAAAGCAGACTCCCTGCTCAGCGTGGAGTCTGACGTGATGCTCAATCCCAGAACCCTGGGATCATGACCTGAGCAGAAGGCAGATGCTCAACCAACTGAGCCACCCAGGTGCCCCTTGAGTCCATCATCTTGAGTGACTTCAGTGTCCAAGTAGATGATCCCATTCAATGTTCTGGCTTCTCCTTTCTTTGATTTCTTTATCAATAATGTACACCACCTACATTCTACTTCAGTTGCTTATGACCTTACCTGGTCTTTTCCATTACCCAAGAATTATCCTACTTCTGAAATCATGTATTCAGACATTCCATTTTCTGACCACTACTTCCTGAACTTACAGTGTAATCATTCATTTGTTTCCACTTCACTGGGGCCTACAACCACTGACTCTTACTTTCTTCTTATTAATTCTGATTCCCCTGTTATCTTTATTTCTCTCCTCACACACTTCAGAATCTATGATTCATAATTTCAATGATTTTCTTACCATAGTTCTAAACTCTCTTGCCATATCTTTTTATTGTGCTTTCCTGGGGGGGGAAAGCCCAATCTGGGTGATTCCAACAGTTTGGCTTCCTTGTGTTGTTGAATGCTGCTGGAAAAAAATTTTCATACAACCTGGAAGATTGATACTAAATAATACCCATAATATTCAATACCTATGAGAATGTTCATGGTGATATTGTTTATTAGAGTAAAAGAAAAATGGAAAACCACCTCAATGCTTATAAATAAGGACTTAGGTAAATTATGGTGCAGCCACACCATAGAATATGAAAAGGAAATGTCCAGATGTAAAAAATAAAGAGAGGTAAGTACTTGGGGTGATGCTAATGGCAGTCTAGGATGGTGTGGGGTGTGGATTATTGATTTGTTACCTGCCAGGGTCTTGGGTTTTGCTGCTTATCTTGATGGAACTAAAACAACTATCTATCATCACAAAGAAATGGCAAGGTCTCTGACTGGGATCCGAATTAAAAAAAAAAAAGTTTCTCTTGAGATATTGAAATCCTGTTCCTACCTCTTGCCTGGGTTTTGAGTCCAAAATGTGAACTATGTGATGTAGAAACCCAAAGCCACAAATTAAACTGGTTTCAGGTCAATGTTACCTCTGAGGTGTTAGATACAAAGTTTATCAGTCTGTAGGAACACTGCCATAGCCCAGGCCACAAGGAAAGCCCCACTGAAGACGAGTTCACAATCCAAAATTACAAAACACATGAGCAAACAGTTCACATGAGGATGGTCAGCAGAAATAACAAAGGGCATAGTTACACAAACACTTCACCAATAATTTCATGTAATTAAAGGCATAAAATAAGGACTTGATCTTCTAAAAAAAATGCAAGATACTAAAGAACAGATGGCAAAACAAACAAACAAATAATAGAACCAACCCCAGAATGAAAAAATATAGTCATTGAGTGAAACTGTGAACATTAAAGATAAAGAGATCTTAAAAGCAGTAAGGGAGAATAGACAGGTTATCCATAAAGGAATTAAACTCAAAGCAGAAATCTTAAACAATGAAAAACAGAAGACAGTGCAATGTTATTTTCTAAGTGCCAAGAGGAAATAACTAGTAATCTAGACTTTTATACCCAGCCAAATTATCATTCAAGACTGAGTGCTAAATAAAGACATGTCCATCATTTAAGACCAAGTGCTGAATAAAGAGAATTTACCACTAATAAACTCTTATTTAAGAAAAAAAAAGACCAAAAAACAAAGGATAAGAAATTTTGATCCCAGGAAGTAGGAAATGCAAGAAGTAAGGCCAGCGCAGGGGACCACAAACTAGGATTGGTAAGTAGGAAGCCTTCCACTAGTGACTGCAAAACTTGTTGCAGCGTGCTTGCAGACTGCTGGCAGTCCCCCTGGCTGTAGGAGTTAGAAGAACAGAAGCACACTAGAAACAGAAAGGAAAGCCCCTTCCTCCTGGGTGAACCGCTTGGTGCCATCTACTGACACTGTTTAACATTACAACCTGTCAGCTGGTAAAGGAGAAATGTTTCAGGGTCCAGGTCCAGTAGCACACAATGCGGAGTGATTTTGAGCCAACAGGCAATACACTGGTAACTGGCATGGCAATGAAGGAACAAAGAAACTGGTAAACATAGGCAAATCTAAACAAGCACCATGTGACTAAAATAAGAATAGCAAAAACGAATTTGGGAGATGCAGAGGAAGTCTGGCAGGCTGGTCTAGGGGTGCTCCTAACTGTACTTGCTGAGGGTCTGCTGCACCCTGGCTCTCCCTCAAAGCTGTTGATTTTGGTGGTGAGGATGCTCTGGGAGGGGCCCTGGAAAGCCATCAGGTAACAGGACCTTCACCATAAGTGAAGCAAAACCAGAGAGATCTCCAAGGAGAAATGGACAAATCCACAATCATTTTTGGAAATCTCAATACTCTTTTCTCAATCATCAGTAAGACAAGTAGATGCAAAATCCAGATATATAGCAGACTTCAACAACATTAGCAAACAACTTGAGCTAATTGACATTTATAAAACACTCCATCCAACAACAGCAGAATAAACATTTCTTTCAAGCACATAGGGGATATTTGACCAATACAGTATATATTCTGGGCTAGTAAACAAGTCTCAGTAAACTGAAAAGTATTCAGGTCATAGAGAGTGTGTCCTCTGGCCACAGTGAAATTAAATTAGGAATCGGTAACAAAGATTTCTAGAGAATCTACAAATATCTGGAAACTAAATAACAGACTTCTAAATAACCCATGGACCAAAGAAGAAATAAACAAGGAAAATTAGAAGTATTTTGAACTGGATGAAAATGAAAACACAACATACCAACATTTTCTCTTTTATGGAGAAAATTTTCAAGGCACTATCAGTAGAAGCAATGAGAACGGATACTGGCCAGAAAAATCAGACGGCCAGCATACTCTGTGACACCAATTTTAGCAATCACTCCTAAGGAATCAGTCCAAGAATGAAGAATTCTGCATGTGTAAAGATGTTCATTTCAGTATTGTTGATAAAAGAAAGTTTTGTCAAACTGTGTATGTTATTGTGCATTCACCTGAGATATGTTGGATGTGGCACAACTTGGAACAATGCATGGGATATAACATGAAGTGGGGGGAAAAAAAGCAATTTACAAAAGGACCAGCATACAATGAATACAGATCCTGTACTTGGTAAGATAATGGAAGAAAGAATACCATGAAAAAGAAGATGCCATTGATTTTAGAGAAGTGGGATTATGGCTGATTCCTATTCTTTATCTTCCCAACTTTCAGCAGTGCAGTCATAACATGATGTTGACTGGGGTTTTTCCTGTTACATTAAAAGTTTGGCTAAAGTTCCACTTTCTCAAAGAGCCTCAATGAGTTGCTAGACGTAAAGCAGTCCTGTGATCATCACCCAGCATCACACACTGGTAGACTACATGGAAAGACTTGAAACATAAAAGGGAGATTCATTACATA